TATTTAAAAGAAAACATTTTGGTACTAAAACTAGAATAATAAAAATAAAAATGCTAGAGGAATGCAAAAGACACCATGCAAATTTAAGGCTTCTGAGCTGAAATGTGTATCTATTTACCGCAAATGCATTGAATCAAAAGAGGTGGATGGAACCTCTTTTGCTGTATCTTTTTGGTTAGTACATCCTCTTTGTTGCAAACATTTCATTGTGGCTGCTTTTCAGGATTCCTTTGACTGAAGGTGTTCACTTTTTTTTTTTTTCCATTTATATCAATCCTTTAGTGGATATATTGTATTAATATGGGACTTTAAGTGTAATTTTAAAAAATATTAAATGTTTCAAGATTTATTTTAGAAGTGATTTGGTTGCATTTTGTACTGCCTCCAGTAAAACTCTCCAAATATCTTGATACTCAATGCTGTTTTGGGTACTAACAAGCAAAAAAATTTGATGTGTCAAATGCTAAGTGTACTTAGGATTTCTTTAAATTACATTTAGTATTGAATAGGTCTCAGAAGTCTGGGAAAGGCTGGGAAAGGTTTTGTATTTCTAAGCTGTTCTTTGGCTTTTTAAATTACAAGGTCTGCAGTGAAACAATAATAATCCTGGTCGGTGTGACCTTACAGGAAATCCTTTACTTTGTATCCGAGAACACAGTCGCTGTTGGTAATTCAAGCAGCTTTAGAAATGTTTCTCATTTTCTTACACACTTACCTCACTTAAAAAATCTTCAGTACCGAGCTGGAAGTATTTCTGCTTCTCCAATTCAGAAATATTTCTCCTAAAAAAAAAAAACCAAACAAACAACGAACAACCCACAAGTGAGTAAGCAGAGGCTTTACCAATGAGAATGTGTTTAAAGTAAGTCTCGTGGCTCCTTCTCTCTTCACCAGGTACCACTTGTGTGGGAGGACACACTCCATCTGCCTTGAAGTCCTTCAGCACTGAACTGTGTAAGCTCCAGTAAAAAAATATCCAACAACTCCAAAACTACAAACTAATCTAATAAATGCTTCCTCTAGCCCCTTGATAAATATGCCTCTAATGCTAATTAAGCAGCTGTGGTGATTAATTAGATGATGTTGGCTGATAAAACACAGCAGCAAGGAAAGGTTTTACTTCTTTTCCTTCCCCAGGAGATTTGGGCTGTAGCTCGGGGATGAGTGAACCCCTCAGTGTCCCAGACACTTTTTCCATGGTCCCACTTTTGCAGAGGAGCCTGGGTGACCTCATGAAGGAACAGGGAGGTGACTTGGCCAGGGTTCAGCAGCGCATTTGTGATTTCAGATGCTTGGCAGCCCACACCCCAGCTTGGGAAATGGGTGTTGCTTACATGTTACTCAGAAGGTGCTTAGCAGTGTCCCTATGGATGCTGCCGTCAGATGCATGGAGATGAAGCGTCGTTCTCCAGTCTGGAGCTGGAGGGAAACTTATGCCCTGGTGCTGGGGGAGAGATGGGAGCAGGGATGGAGGAGCTCCGCTCCCTCTGCCAAGAGGGAAGCCAGCCTGGAAGCCCTTGTGAGCCAAAGTGCTCTCACAACCAGCTTTTGGTTGGCAGGGGAGTGTAGCTTGGGGCTGTGCTCCAGTGCTGAGTGAATTTCCTCCCATTGTCCTTGGGGAAGTGCAAATGCCACAGAGGGAGGTCATGGTGACCATCCCCTGGAAGTTCAGGCTGGGGCTGTGCCTCTGGGCCTTCCACAGCTACTCCCATCCCCAGTGGTCCTTTCTAGGGGTGCCCCACTGAGATTCCCTTTGCTCTTTTCTTCGTGGTAGAGGAGTTCTTATTGCTTCCTCATAGGGTAACAAATGCTGAAATTATTTCAGTTTTGGCAGAGGCAGTCAAAGAATGATAACACGGAGCCAAAGGAGCCTAGAAGAGGCGCTGGGCCGTATTCCCAGAATTCCATGAGCCAGTACCACCTCCTGCCTGTCCCCTTCCTTTCCTAATCTTTCAGCCCCATCTCCCTGAAAATTCAGAATGAGTCCCTTGGTATTCATCTTAATCTGGCGTTTAAAATCTCAGGCAATAAAGCTTTCACCACTTCCCTTACAGAGACAATTTTCCAGCCCTTGATTCTCCGTTCAAAAGCTTTCCACACGGATTCTCAGCTTAGACATGCCCTTCTGTAATTTCACCCCATTAAAACCATTAATGTATCACCAGTCTTCTCCCTTCGTGCCACTTACTTAATTCAAACATTTACAGATCACTAGTGTGTCCCTGCTTAGTTTACTAATTCCACAGTACCTATGACAGCTGGAATTTTTTTTTTTTTTCCCCCTTTTGTAAAGCCTCCAGCCTGCTGATTCCTTCAGTTGTGGCTCTTGGAGCTGCTTCCTTCTTGCAAAATCTGAGGCAGATGCTCACCATCCTCACCTGTGTCCTTCTGCTCCTCTGCACTCCATCCAAACCTGCATTGCATGTTCCTGACTGCCCCGCCCTAACACCTGTGAGCAGCCTAATGTCCTGCAGGTGTCCTGCAGGTCATGCCTCCAGAGCACATCCTTCCCTATAAATACAGATTCTGGATTTATTTTTTTTTTCCTCCCCGAAGCATCCAGCTGGGTTGTGGAGGTTGGTGTTAGTGGGTGGCAGCGCGTGGCTAAAGCTGCATCGGAGCAGACTCTGGATCTGAGCTCCCAGCAGCCCAGCGCAGGGGAGGTTTTATTTTTCCGTAAGTATGTATCTTACTAGTGTGTTCCCTCATGCTGACACCCCAAATAGTGCATTCACCTTCCTTGCAAAGAAAGTTTTTTTACATACCTGGTGAGAAGTACCTTGCAAAGTCGCAAAACACTGTTTTGAAAAAGAATCTTGAATTCCTGAATGCGCAGCTCTGTTTCTACCTGAACCTGTCTCTTTGTTTCTCCTAACATGATGAATCCTTGTGAGGGAGCACGTGGTGTCTGTGGTTCCCAGCATGGTTTGGGTGGAGGTGTGGGTAGATGTATACATGCTTCTCTACTATCAACCCTGTGACTGGTTCTGTGCCACGAGCAGCTGCACGGTGAATGTTCAGCTCCCGAACTTCCCAGGTGTTTGCAGCCCCGATCAGGACTTAGGGACTGTGCTGAAACGATTGCTGCCACGTTTCCCAATCGCAGGGCGCTTGGGAAATGCACTGTGTGGTTGTGCAGCACACACGCCCCGGAGGCGCGAACCGAAACGCTCTGATTAGGAAACACCAGGGCGATGTTTAACGAGCGCATTACAAATTCGGCCCTGACTGCACACCACAGCTCCCCCACCCAGCCCCAGGGACTCGGATCTGAGTCCGATCTGAGGCTGCGGCTGGAAGATCTCCAGAGGTCCCTTCCAACCCTGACGATCCTGTGATTCTGTGATCTCAGGGAGCGCAGAAGCGGGATCGCTAGGATCAGTGTTAGAGGCGATCAGTGGGAGATCAGTGTTGGAGGGTGTCTCTCCTGGGAGTGTGTGAGGGGTGCTAGGGCTTGTGTGTGACGGGGATAGTGACAGGGATAATGACAGGGACAGGGATAGAGATAGTGACAGTGATAGGGAGACTGACAGTGATAGCGACAGGAACAGGGACAGTAATAGTGACACAGGGACAGGGAGAGGGTCAGGGACAGTGACACAGTGACAGTGACACAGTGACAGTGGCACAGTGACAGTGACAGTGTGAGTGACACAGTGACACAGCGACAGGGACAGTGACACAGTGTGATACAGGGACAGCGACACTGACACAGGGATGGGGACATGGGGACAAGGACAGTGACTGTTACAGTAACGGCGACTTACAGTGCCAGTGACAATGACCCAGGGACAGTGGCAATGACACAGTGACGGCGACACAGGCACGGAGACACAGAGGCAGAGACACAGGGACAAGGGACAGTGACACAGGGTAGGGACACAGGGACAGGGGCACAGTGACAGTGACATGGGGACAGGGACACAGACACAGACTCAGGGACACAGTGGCAGTGACAGACACAGTGACAATGACACAGACACAGGGACACACTGACACAGGAACATGGACACAGGGACACAAGGACAGTGACAGTGACACAGACACAGGGACAGTGACAATGACACAGCCACAGGGACAGTGACAGTGCCACAGGGACATAGAGACAGTGTCACGGGCACAGCCCCATCTGGCCCCAGCCCGTTCCCGTTCGCGTCCCCGTTCCTGCTGCCATCCCCGTTCCCGCTCCCATCCCCGTCCCCCTCCCCGCTCCCCTTCCCACTCACGTCCCCCTCCCTGTCCCCATTCCCAGCCCCAGCCCCGTTCCCGTCCCCATCCCCATTCCCGTTCCCGCTCCCCTTCCCACTCCCGTCCCCCTCCCTGTCCCCATTCCCAGCCCTATCCCCATTCCTATCCCCGTTCCCATCTCCGCTCCTGTTCCGGTTCCCATCCCCGTTCCCTTTCCCATCCCCTCTCCCCTTCCCACTCCCGTCCCCATTCCCAGCCCCATCCCCATTCCCGTTCCCGCTCCCCTTCCACTCCCGTCCCCCTCCCCCTCCCCATTCCCATCCCTATCCCCGTTCCCGTCCCCATTCCCATTCCTATCCCCGTTCCCATCCCCCCTCCCTTTCCCGCTCCCATTCCCATCCCCGTTCCCATTCCCATTCCCGCTCCCATTCCCGTCCCCATTCCCAGCCCCATCCCCGTTCCCGTTCCCGCTCCCCTCCCCGCTCCCGTCCCCGTCCCCTCCCGTCCCGCCCCCCCGCTCCCGTCCCCGCTCCGTCCCCGTTCCCATCCCGCTCCGTTCCCGCTCCGTTCCCGCTCCCGTCCCCGCTCCCATCCCCGCTCCCATCCCCGTTCCCGTCCCCGCTCCCGTCCCCGCTCCCGTCCCCGCTCCCATCCCCGTTCCCATTCCCGTCCCCGCTCCCGTGCCCGCTCCCGTTCCCGTCCCCGCCGCACGGGGTCGCTGTGGCCCGGCCCGGCGCCGCGCGGCGCTCTGGGCCCGGCGGGCGGAAGTGACGGCGCGGCGGCCCCGGTGACATTCCCGGCGCTTCCCGGCGCTTCCCGGAGCTCCCGCCGCTCCGCCCGCCCATGCCCCGGCCGCTGCCCCCGCCGGGGAGCCCTGGGGGGGCCCTGCCTCCAGCAGGTGAGTGCGGCCGGGGGGCAGCCCGAGCCCACGGGGGGGGGGTGAGATGGGATGAAAAGGGGTGGGATGGGATGGGCGGTACCGGCCGCGCTCTGCTGGGAGCGGCGGGAGCGGCCCCGCATCCCCCGGGGTGAGGGTAGGTGCCCGGGGGTGCTGGGTGCTGTGGGGATACGCCTGCTCCTAGTCTTGCTCCTTGTCCTAGCACTAGCCCTAGTCCTGATCCTGGTGCTTCTCCTGGTCCAGCCCCACCACTGCTCTGCCCTGACCCAGCGGATGGAGATCCCGGTGGAAAGATCCCGGACCGCTTGGTCTTTCCCCGGGACTTTTGTAAAACAAAGTGCCTTTTTTTGCTTTTCTCTCTTTTTTTTTCCCCCCGTAACGCTTTTTCAAGTCGTGTGAGCTGTTGGAGGAAAGAAACCCCCTTGGAATAACGACGGGTGTAACTGCCCAGAGGTTGCTCTTCTCTGGGTTTTTTTTGTTGTTGTTTCTTTTGTTTTTTGGTTGTGTATTCCATGGGTGGGAATCTCGGTTTTTATGTGGAAAGAAAGTTCAAGTTGCTCGCTGTGTATCTGTCCCGGGTTCCCCTTGAGCTCCTGACGTCTAATGGGTTGCAGATGTGGCTCTGAGCCACGCAGCCATCCGAGGGGAATATAAAACTTAACTGTGCTACTTGTTCCTTTTTAAAAAGGGAAAAAAGGCAGCCTGGGCAGACTTGTAATATTTTAACTATTTCCTCAGTTCCAGTACTTTAACTTTCTTTGCCTTGAGGTTATTAGACAACCACTTAAAAGGCTGCTTTTTAAAGACTTGGGGCTTTTTTTTTTTTTTTTTAATGTTTACCTTGCTCCCACCTTTGTTAAGTAGCATCTAGTTCTACTTATGTCTTAGTTTGTTAACAGTGGGACAGGGCCACTTGCCTGAAAGTTTGTAGGTACCTTGTTGAAACCATAACTGCAGTAACTTAGTTAAACAAGGTCTTGGTTACGACTAGTTGTGCACTTTAAACCAGCACAAAGTACCGAACAACACTTCAAAGGCTGAAGAAAACTTGTGTGTCAGGATGCTGTGGCATAAGTCAGTCCTGTTTGATTTTTTTTTTTTTTTTTGCATTGTCAAGAAATTCTAGCTTTTAAAAATGAGTGAGTAAATCTTTGAACCCATGAGCATCTCTTTAAAAATGTAAAATGTCTTTTAATTCCCCCTCCCGCAGATTCTGTTTAGTTTTTACATCTCCTCTGGTACTTGTCAAGCATCACACCAAGTAATAGCTTCCCTTATGGGCAAGGACTACCCTATTTCCTCTTTCCAAGCTAAAAGTTTAAGTACAAACAGTAATAGCTCTCCCCTTGGAATGGCAAACAAATGCTAAATTTAAAATCTCTCTCTTAAAGTGTCTTAATGTTGCATAAGCCTTTTAAAAACGTGTTTGACCTTGAGATGAAAACCGAGTATGGTGCTCTTCTGAGGTCTCCATGGTGTGGTTCTCCTGCCCTAGTTAACACCTGTAATTGCTGTTCCTGTGGTACAAGAGCTGGAAGTCAGGCAGTCACAACAGCACAGCTTTCCCTGCTACCCTGGAGGAGGGAAACGTGGCCTTTGAGGAGGGAAAAGGTTCTTAACAAGCTCTGAGGAGAACAGTAAGTTGCTTGTCATGTGTTTGCTAAACCCAGCCATCCCCTTCTATATATGTGTATGATACCAAAGCAGTGAGATGACGTGTGGAGAACTCGTCTGTCCAGCAGCAGTAATTTTTAAGTATTCTGAGTATTTCTCACCTCTGCTGATTTAGAGCAGCCTGGTGCTGGCACAAGAAGCTCCAAGGGGGGTGGGGGTGGTTATGTGGCTACTGAAAGCTAATAAAACACAGCTTTTTGTAGTTCTGGCATCCCAGTGACACTGGTGTTTTGTCTGGGGAACCAGGGGGAGGGACCCTGTGTGTGATGGAAGGCAGTACGTGAGCCCGAGCAGCTGCTTTTCGCCCTCCAGTGCGGGGATAGCAGTTCTGACTCATTTTTGAACACTTGAATTTGTAATTACACTCTGTCGACTGTTTCTGTTTGCTCTTCAGCCTAATTGCTGGTCAGCATCGTGAAGAGGTGGGATGAGAAATTCCTGAGAAATCAGGAAGAGGAGACGGCTGTGGCCTTACACACTCAGATGTGTGATGTGTGTGTCAGGGCAGCCTGGGCACCTCAGTGCACAGAGCCTTGGTGGGAATTACAGTGCACAAACCAGTCAGGATGCTTTAAACTGGGTCCTGCAGAGGGAGGGGGAAAGGGAAGGAACCTGAAGCCAACCACAAGGCAGTTGAGAACGGCCTCAACACACAACAGCAAGCCCTGTTCTGACTGATAAAGGAGAAGTAGGAAGGATGTGTGGCTGCCTTGGACAAACGGGCACTGTGGAGGAGGTGGGGATTGATGAGGTAAGGTGAGATTGGACCAACAAAAAGTAGATATGGAGTGTCATGAGGGGCTTTGAACACTAAACATCAAGGAGATAAGTTGGTGTAAGTTGATCAGAGCAACAAGAAATAATTGCCTTGGCTGTCCTGGCACTCCCCCCCCATCTCCTTGATGTGTATCTTCCTTTGAAATGCAGGCTTCTTTGCGTGGATTCTGTTCACTTTTCTTCACTTTCTCTTGTATGTTATCACATCAACTGCCTCCTCCACCAAGGATGTATGTGCCACCTGTGACCCACCTGAATATCAACATCTCACTTAAACATCTGTTAATGAGATGGGAGTCTCTACATACCACACAGTGAAAGTGGCTGCAGAACAAGTAATCCACCTGGCTGGTTACCCTCTGACCAAAATGCCACCATTATCTAGTGATATTAGAAGCTTTGCAGACATTTCCAAATGAGTAGTTAGTTTCAAGCAACCTTTGTGTTATTGTCTATAACATTTCAGAGTTAGTGTACTCATGGTACCTTTTGACAGAATTGGATTTGTGGTCAATCTCAGCTTCTGCAGTTGACTCACTCAGAAAACTCTAAACATTGGCAGAAGCTGAGCAGCAGAGTTAATAACATTTATTGGACCACAGTGAAAGATTTAAACACAATAGCAGGCAGTGTGTAACTTGCACCTCAGAACAAGCACTCTGGGAAAGAAGTAATAAAACTTGAAATTCATCTTTGCTCACTTGAACCTTATTAGCAGCAATTGGAAACTGAAAATGAAACAGCACTGGGAGAGGGCATAGTGCTGGGAAAGAGCTCGGGGTTAAAGTTGTGTGATACAGTTGTGTTGATGCTCTGAGATGACCTGAGGTTTATGTGAAAAGGAAACAACTTTTGGTTTTCCACAACCAAGATAAGTGGTCAGCACGTAAGTGGGAGTTCAGCCTTTAACTTTAGCACAGAACTGTTACCAGTCTGTGGCAGCAGATATTATTGCAGGGAACTTGAACAACACAAATCAGCACAAAAATCATGCTTTCTTTCACATCTCTGTTCCATGTTTTTAATGCATACTGCAGTTCTGAGTCTGTGAATGCAGTGTGTACAAATGTGGAATTCTAAGCAAAAAGAGAACTAGATGAAAGGGATTTTAAATGGAAATGTGCATATAGTGTAAAAGCCTCTGCAGTTGCTTTCTCTAGCAGAGTTCGTCTTTGAGCTAAGCTGAGGGACTGATACCTTGTCACTTGCATGGTGTTACTGCTTAAGGGTTAGAATTTAAATGTATAGTTGTCTGTTCCCACTCCTTAGTGTTGCCTCTTCCTGTGTCTGACCAGCCTGAATGGAGCCTGTAGTGGTTTCTCCATGGCTGTGAGTGGCTCCCTGCAGTTGGGGCACACGTGGATTAGTGATTCAGGACTGGAAATGAGATGTGGCTCCGTCTCGCAGGTGTTGCTGTTACACTGTGTCAGATGCATTACTGACTGCTCAGGGAGGTCAAGTAACCTGCCCGTGGTCATGAGGTGAGTCAGCTTCAGATTCAGAATGATCCATGCTAATATCCCTTTTTATTTAAGAAGGTATTTAGGGGGTTTGTATCAGTTTGACCACCTAGTCTGTCTGTCCAGTGCTCAGAAATTGATTGAAGTAGCAGAACAGAGTACAGGCTTCAGTATTATCACACCTTGTGATGTTTGCTCTCAAAGACTGCTTAAAAGCTGTTAGTACTCAATCTGACAACTCTTAAATTATAAACAGAACACGTGGTCACTTTTTAATTAAACTCCGGTGTTTAGAGACTTTAAAGCCAGCATTTTTCTTTCAATATATGTGAATCATGAATTTGACATTATAGTGAGGCTTCTGTAGTGTCCTTCACAGTGCTCTTCTGCTTCAATGCTTCAAAATTTCTTGGAAGTGAGCAGGAGGAGCCAGACCTTGATTGGATAAGTGTTCCTCTTGCTACCTTTCTGCTCTGATGTCTTGTTCCGTGGTGCTTGATCATTAGCATTTCACGACTTATTTTGAGAAGGCAGATCCAACATGGGTAGAGGCCAAGTGACTCACAGTAGCAGAGCTGGGAATAAGAAGGAGCCAGACTTTATAATGCCAGTTGTCTGCATGATGAAGCAATTACCATTTCAGTAATTTGTTTTTCATTGGGAATATTTCATTTCCATGGTACCGATGTGAGGTTGGTGCTGCGTGCTCCAACAGTGCTGTCAAACTTTCTGAAGCAAAAAGGAATGCTATGATAGCCAGGTAAGGTTGAGACAGTGTTGTTCTCTTGTACTGAGGCTTTTACATCAGCTGGTAATTCTCCTGACTCCTCAGCTAGCTCTCCTGGTTCGTGCTCTCTTGGAATGCCATCTCCTGCCAGAAAGCCAGTTCTAAATAATCTGGCAATTTAGGGAAAAATGTTCTTAAAGAGTAGCTCAGGGAAGCTGTCTACTAATTCGTAATTTGTGGTTGGAAATACAATGGTTTGGAGGCTGTCTCCTAATTAAGTAAGTTGGATGAAGTGCTGGTAGTCTGGAGCCTCACTGTGTTTGATTAGAGGTCTTTTGGAAATTAAGTTGTCATTGTGGGAAGGAGTGGGCTCGTGGGTAACAGTGTCCCTGAGCCCATTGCTGATAAATCCAACTTGAGTTGTCAGTGGCTGTGGTTCCTCCAGAGCTGGTAACACTTATTGATGAGCACTATGCAGTCTCTGTGAGGAGTCATAAAAAAACCCCCGTATTTCTTTGGGCATTATTTTTTGGAAAGCCTTTAAGGCAAAATTTCATTTTTCGTGGTTCCACTTACTGTTATTAGTAAGTAGTTTTAAAGGCAATTTATGGGCTTTTGATCCGCTCACTGTAAGAAATTGTTGAATACCATAAAACTAAGCTAAGGAAATCCACTGAATATCTTGCCAGAGTTCACTTCATAAGCCCTCAATAATTAGCTATAGACCTCACCTCAATTTCCCTTGTTTGTTTTACAGGAGGAAAATGTTTTTTTCTACTTTTTAACATCTATAGTGGATTTCACTGTTTGTCTGTATGAAACTTGCCACCCTTCAGCAACAGTAAGACTGTGTTGAATGAATGGAATGGGGTTGAATTAATACTCCAGACTTGATGCTCTTTTTTCCATCTATCTCTCCCTTTTGCCGGGAAAGTTGTTTATATAGTTTATGTCTGCTGTTGCTAAGGATTAGTTTTATGCTGAAGAAAGTTCTGCCAGCTGAGCCACTTTCTCCTAAACAGGAATAATAATGCAACAAATAATTTTAGGGTAAATGGTGTTTTTATTTTTGGATAAGTAAGTCGTGTGGTTTTTTTCTGGGAGGGGGAGAGGGTGGTTTTGTGGTGTTTTTTTTTTTCTCCTGTCAGTACTTGCAGGCCACTGCTGAAACTACCTTTTAATTTTCTTTTTCTCTTTTTGTAGCTGGTAACTTGGTATCCTGTTACATACTGTTATTTAATTTCTGTAGTCAAATATATGCAAAGTTCTTCTGTGTGTTGTGGGAAAGAAATGCCTGTTTCCTGGTCTGTCTGTTGACCTCTTGAAGTTGAGCTCAGATTTCTTCTCCTTTGCCAACTGGGAGCAAATACTGTAGAAAGTGTCTGATAGTGAAACCCATGTTAGAGGCATTATTCAAAACACACATGTAACTGGCTTTTGGCCTGGTCAGTTCTGTTGTTTTGAAATACCCACAGCAGCTTCTGTTCATCTGTAGAACCAACCTGTGTTTGCTTCACACTGAGACCTGTGTCACGAGTGCTTTCTTCTTTTAGGAGCACTTTGGACACATAAAGGCTGTGCTATCAATTGCTAGCAATCTAGGGGGTGCTGAAATCAATCAGCACCTCTTGTTACTGGCCAAAAACAGGTCAAGGGTTTGGTGTCAAGAACAGCCCAACAGCAGTGGGTATCTTCCTGTAGAATTTCATCATTTGAATGCCATGTGACTTTGCCTCTAGTGTATTGATACGATTTATTTTTCAGTGGTATACCTGCTGAGAATTCATGTTGCAATATTTAGATTATACTGCTAGCTTAGTAATTAAAGGAATTAATAATATTAGTGGTTTTGTGGATGAGAAAATGACTTGAGATCAGGGTTTGTTGGGCTTGCAGCTCTTGTCTGTAGAATTTAGGCACGTCACCTGATCTTCAGCTGGCCAGACCATAAAATGGGTATGTTACTGCTCTGTGCCAGGAAGATACTGCTCTAAGGCAA